GAGAATGTAGCTGTGTAAACCTCAAATATCTGCTCAGTTTATCAGGACACCGCATATTTTCAAAAGCGCTCCGACGTTTTCAGAGACGTCTGTTACCCACTAGCTCGATAGCTAGCCGGGGGCTAGGTCACTAGCGCCGTGAGAACACCGGACTCCCCGCAATCGTTTTCAAACCCACCGCCGTCTTTCGCTACTCAGGTTAAATATATATGAGTCACTTAGATAACTTAAAATGTTATTGTTTGGCTTTTTGTAGTATTTTATTTGTTCCTGAGTAAATCGGTTTGGCTGAGATTAAAGTTATAGTTTTTACACAGCTGAATAAAGTCAAGCAGACAGCTGATCATCAGAAGTGTGAGATGCTGGAGAATTTACTCCGGTGTCCTGTTATATTTTAGATAGCAAGGAGTTTATTAAACTTCACCGAAACAATTGCAAATTTCATTAAAATTTAATAAACTATCATCTTGTCTTTATTTTTAGTTAGCACAGACCTTAAACACTTAAAGCTGTAAGCTAATGATAGTTATATAAGCTGTAGTTTTACGTCTAATGGATGATGATCTGATTAGTCGACTAATCGCAAAAATAATCGGTGACTAGTCGACTATCAAAATAATCGTTTGTGGCAGCCCTAGTGCTAACACGTGCTAACACCTGTCAGCTAGCTTCGGCCCAAACGGACACACGTGCTCCTCCCTGTTGTTTTACACGAGTCAGCATGTGCAGCCTGAGCATCACAATGATGGCGAGCTAAGGCACAGCTAGCTGGCTGACCATCCTCGTGTAGCCACCACCGTGGGAGTGTTAGTTACACAGAGGTTAAAGTGTGCTGGATCGATCTGGAACAGTTCAGTTCTTGGCGTTGCTTCGAGCAACAGCCAGCAGATACCTGACGCCCCGTGACGCGCTTACAGCCTCAGCCTGTGACGTGTTCATGGTGCAGATGTAAATAAAGCTGCAGCAGGCTACAGAAGAGGAGCTGCAGGATTTACCCACAGTAAACACAACATGTTAGCTGGTGAAGAAATGGTAAATGGACTGGTTCTCATATAGCGCTTTTCTACTCTTCTGAGCACTCAAAGCGCTTCACACAACTTGTGCATTCACCCATTCTAACTAGCATTCACACACATTCATACTTCGATGGATGCGTCGGAGAGCAATTTGGGGTTAGTATGTTGCCCAAGGATATTTGGCACGCAGACGAGGGGAAGCCAGGAACCTTCCGATCATTGATGACCTGCTCTACCTCCTGAGCTACAGCCACTCACAGAAATAAGTCCAGAGTCCTAGAAGGCCCTTTGAACCATCTATGACGTCTTTAATAGTAGTGGAAAGTTTGGCACACGTAAAGGGCGTGGCTTTGGTCAGGTGGTTTGATCCCAGTCTGCATGCCACGATACAAACCCCATGTTGCTCTATGAATGCGTGAATGTCAGACAGGAAGCACTTAGAAACAGCACGCTTGTGTGAATGAGGCAGAAAAGCGCTGCATAAGCAGCTTTCCATTTACCTTTAGCACTACTTCACTTACCTGCAGTGAGAAGTGAGCCGACTTTTCCTCGCTCAGTCCTGAAAAATGATCAGAGTGAGCAGGTTGGCTTTCATTAACACAAACGTGACAGTAACTAATACGACTACTGTGAGAATGACTCTGAGGCACAGAGGACTCGGATGTGTACCTAATGTCAGGAGGTCTTCTTTGATCTGCTCGCCTGTCAGGTTTTTCTTCAGGGCTCCTGAGGAGAAAACAGACACGGACACCTTCCTGTTACTGTTTATAGCTCCACCTGTTGAGTGTCGGGTTTTAAACGCCGTGAGAAAATACTGTGCAGGTATCCCCACATACACATCTGTATGGAGATCACTGCTGCAGACACACCTGGCCCGTGCAGTAAGCGTGCACACGTACAGTGCAGCGTATACAGCACCACAGACAGATAGCCCACGCGTAACTGGCATTCTGGGAAATGGAGGAAGTGAAAATACAAACGAAATCACAGGCAGAAACATGCTGTCTGTGAATGAAACCTGAAAGCACAGTGTTAGCACTGTTGCCTCACAGCAAGGAGTTCACTTCCACCATCAGGCTGGGGTCTTCCTGCAGGGCTTCTCCCCGGGTACAACGCCTTCCTCCCACAGTCCACAGACATGCAGATAGTGGGGTGAATGGTTGCCTGTGTGTTAGCCCCCCCCCTGTGACCTAACAAGGATAAGAAGCAGAGGAGGGATGGATGGCACATAAAATAAGATTTACTCATCCATCCACAAACCAAAAACACCCTGTCAGTGGGTTTATCTGTGACAAGGATTCACTTCCTGTGACTGAGATGAACAGGAAGCACTGGTGCTAACGAGGGAGGATTCTTTTCTCTCGTTCAGTTCATTTTTATTTCAGTGGTTTCTGTTCGAGCTCACTGTAATAACCTTGATGCAGACTCTGTATAAAGGACCAGATTAGTCAGAGATGAGGGAGGAAAAACGACCACTCTGCTGTTTTCTCTGATTTCTCTCAACACTTTGTTGCCGATCACATCTTATGGCTCGTAATAATCGCTGCACTTCTGTCTCAACTTTGCAAACAGAAACTCGCCCAAAATATTTGGCCCAGGTGTCAGGAGCACTTTGTTGTACTGAACTTCTGCACTGAGGGCTATACTTATCAGAAACTACCCGCATGGACCGCAGCTGGGCGGCTCATCAAGAATGCAGCAGCACATCGGGGCTGCACACAACACAAGTGGGAACAAGGGGAAGTGTTATCCATTTTCCATTTATTCTCTCGTGCTGGCAGAGCGCGTTCAGAGAAACACAAATTGAAATGTGTTGAAAGAAGCCTTAGTCTTCAGTTACACCTGCCTGAGCCTGCTGCTTCCATCGCACTGAATCAAACACCACCTATAGTCCCCTATTCAGTTACATCCCAGGTCACATGCTGCTGCTGTCGCCCACACAAGTGCTTCGTAAAACCGTTACTGCAGGCAACAGATTTAAAGCTCCATACGCCCTCATCGTGTTCAGCGCTGTGGCATCAACAATCTGACACTCGGCTAGAAATCAAAACCAGCCAAACTCCACTCCTTTTAACCTCCAAACACATGACCCACATCCCACAGCGCAGAGGATAAACAGACCACAGCACCGAGGCAACAACTCAGTTCCATTCATCACAACAGCGGTCGCCTCAAGGCGATGGTAAAGACCCCACAATCATCCAGAGAAAACCCCAATGATTAGGCAACAGTGGGAAGGAAAAACTCCCTTTTAACAGGAAGAGGGGCGGGGCCATCTGCTGCGACCGGCTGGGGTGGAGGGGAGGAGCCAGTTTTAACAGGATATTTCTAACTTTAGAGATGTTGCACAAATGGAAGAACGCAGTCTTACATATTTGTTTAATATGTGCGTTGAAGGACATGTCCTGGTCAAAAATGACTCCAAGGTTCCTCACAGTGTTACTGGAGGCCAAGGTAATGCCATCCAGAGTAAGAATCTGCTTAGATACCATATTTCTAAGCTTTTCAGGGGCGAGTACAATAACCTCAGTTTGATCTGAATTAAGAAGCAGAAAGTTAGCGGCCATCCAGGTCTTTATGTCTTTAAGACATTCCTGCAGTTTAACTCATTGGTGTGTGTTATCTGGCTTCATGGACAGATAGAGCTGGGTGTCATCTGCATAGCAGTGTAAATGTATGCTATGTCTTCTAATGATGCTGCCTAAGGGAAGCATGTATAATGTAAACAGAATTGGTCCTAGCACTGAACCCTGTGGAACTCCATAATTAACCTCAGTGTGTGAAGAGGACTCTCCATTTACATGTACAAACTGGAGTCTATTAGATAGATATGATACAAACCACTGCAGCGCAGTACCTGTAATACCTACAGCATGTTCTAATCGCTCTAATAGGATATTATGGTCGACAGTATCGAACGCTGCACTGAGGTCTAGCAGGACAAGCACAGAGATGAGTCCACTGTCAGAGGCCATAAGAAGATCATTTGTAACCTTCACTAAAGCTGTTTCTGTGCTGTGATGAGCTCTGAAACCTGACTGAAACTCTTCAGATAGGTAAAGGGCGGGGTTATCACCTACAGTATGACACCTGACACTCAGAGTGCTGACAGGTGTGTTTCCAGCCTGTCTCTGCTCTTCTCCTGTCTGCCAGTATAAAATTACAGTGAAGTGCTTCACACATAAATCTTCTGCATTCTCTGACTTTACTCTTAACGACACCGACTCTACCTGGTCTGTAGGTTTACAGAACTGACGTCCTGATCAAGGAGATAAACGAGGGAAAATGGAAACAACCTGATTCCTACCACCTAATCTGGTACGGCTGGATTTACGATGTCCGTGTTAGCCTCTGTGATTAGAGTGATGGATGATGAGTGTGTCTCCCACCCTGCGGCACCAGGAGGACGCTCTTCATCAGGTTCCTCAGAGGCCCGGCGCTCATCCCATGTTCCCCCGCGAACTCAGTGAGCTGCTGCATGAACCTCTCTGTCTGCGCACACACACACAGACACACAGACACACAGAAAAATGCATGCATTCATTTCCACATGCACACAAAAGGGCAGCCAATGTTTTACCTCGGTTCAGTTATCAAGGCTAACCACTAAGTCCAAAGTCCCATTAACATCAAAATGTGTGTGTATGTGCGCGTGCGTGTGTGTGTGTGTGCGTGCGTGTGTGTATGTGCGTGTGTGTGTGCATGTGTGTGTGTGTATGTGCGTGTGTGTGTGTGTATGTGCGCGTGCGTGTGTGTGCGTGTGTGTGTGTGTGCGTGTGTGCGCGTGCGTGTGTGTGTGCGTGTGTGCGTATGTGTGTGTGTGTATGTGTGTGTGCGTGCGTGTGTGTGCGTGCGTGCGTGCGTGTGCGTGTGCATGTGTGCGTGTGTGTGTGTGTGTGTGCGTGTGTGTGTATGTGTGCGTGTGTGTGTGCGTGTGTGTGCGTGCGTATGTGCGCGCGTATGTGTGCGTGTGCGTATGTGCGC